ATCAGTCCAGGCCTGGTGCATTATAAACATTTGGTGACAAACGCCATTGTGGATGGTTAACAATAAAATCCGAACTTAGGTCTTTCTAGAGAAACTACTAAGGTCTTGAAGTGGTCTAGGAACCTCTTGCTATTACATGTGGAATAAGGTAAAATATAAAAATTTAGATACAAATGTTGACAACAACATTATTTGTAACAGCGAAAAAAAAGAAACCAAATGCCCACCAATGGGTGAAGGACTAAACAAAATATGACATTTGCTTGGTTATACAAACAGTGGACTATTATTCAGAAATCTAAAAAATGACGTCATATTACATGCCCCAACATGAATGACCCTCATGCCCATTTTGGGAGGTGGTATGGATTATTGATAAGCTTTCCTGTATTCTTGGGGTTACATATATGTAGTTATGAGGATTTGTGACTGGCAAATTGAGGGTGGAAGGGGAGAAACTGAATCCCAGCCTTGCACTTGGCCCAGGGTAGACTCCTTCCAGAGGACGAGGCAGGCTTTTATAATTTCCAAGATGTCTGTGCATTAGATTCAGAAACTCTGACTGGAAGAAACTGCCTTCCTTCCCCCTGCCCCACACTGTTACTCTGGTCTTGTCACCACCCAGCCCCCTGACTATGTCACCTGTGCTTCTTGTTTTTATCCTCATGGGAAAGAACTGAAAATTGAAGGCAAGGTGCTGCCAAGCTAAGAAAGGGATGGGTAGGATTTAACTTGAGAAGAAACTAATTAGATGAGGAAGTGGGAAGAGACCTTAATTGCTGGGTAGCTGCCCACATGGTGCTCTTTGGGTGGCTTTGGGCAGCTCTTACAGAAGGCTGCCTGCACTTGCCCCTCCGCAGTCACAAAGAGCAAGGTAACACTGGTGCACTGGGCGTTCCAAGTGAGGGTCGGTAGGTGGTGTGGTCTAACTTCTGCCTTTAGTGTATCCTTAAAACTATTTTTTATTGTGATAAACTAAACCTAAAATTGACCACCCAGGATGTTCATACATTCATAATACATAGCCATGATCAGTTTTTAGTTCTGAATATTTTTACAATCCCTTAAGAAATCCTTCTCTGCCCAAAGAAATACTTCTGAAGTCCTTGGCAACCACTAATCTATTTATGTCTCTATGCCTTTGCTTGCTTTGAACTTTTCATGTAAATGGAATCATGGGACAAGTGGCCTTTTGTGTTTCAGTTCTTTCAATTACAATCATGCATTAAAGGTGCATCTATATTATAGCCTGTAGAGCATGCTATTCCTTTTTCTTTCTAAGTAATATTCCATTGTGTAGCTATACCACACTTTGCTTCTCCAGTCATCCATAGATGTACATGTGACGTTGTTTTCACTTTGAGGCCATTAGGAATAATGTCTCTATGAACTAGTATATGAGTTCTTGTTGTGGTTTCAAATTTAGGCTGTGTATCCTATTGCCTTTGTGTCTTTTGGCTCTTGGTTTGTGTGAATTCACCCACCAGGAGGAATTTCTTTCTAAGAGAGGAGAAGATGATGGGACTGTAGCTGTCTGTTGCTGGAGGCAGTGTTGTCAGATGGTAGGCAGGGCAGGACACGTGTGGTGGGGTTGAGACCAGCTGCGCCACATTGGATGAACTAGGAAGTGAGTTACTTTGGCCTGGGTGCCCTTTCCAGCCTTCTTTTTCCACCCCTTGGTCTTCCCTGGCTTCATGTCCAGGATGCCTTCCCTGGAAGACTCTGCATTTCCTAGTCAAGGGATGACCTCCTTGGTCATCCGTGACCTTTCGTGTAGACTGGGGCTTGGCTCCTGAGAGTACTTGGCTGACCTTATCAGATACAAAAGTTACATTTCTTGTTATAGAGGTCTTGCTATATCTTGGTCTTAACCATCCAGCAGAAAAGTATAAAAACGAGGTATATGAAGTAAATCCATATTAATACAATGAGCTGTAAAAGGCTCAAGTCAATAACTTCTGAGGATAACCTACTGACTGCTCGACAGTGTTAGATTATTTAGTTGAATTCAAACACCTATAGTATTTAGATGCCAATAGAATATTCACCTCTGACAGGACAAAACAAAAGGATACAAAGGAAAGATCACTTTGTATTTATATATACAAAATAGTTCGGATAAATTTATAGCTACTTTCACTTAATTCAATGAGAAGAAAGAGGTGTACTAACAGTGTTTGGACAGAATATCCTCTCTGCTTCTTGTACTATGGATTACCACTAAGAAGATAACAATGTACAATGCAGTGTTTATCAAGACTGTCCTATTAATCAGTTGTGAAACTGTCTCATTCATATTTATTTCTCGATAAAAATAAATAAAAACAAAAACAAGGTTACCTGGTTAATGAAGCAGGGTCATTGTAAAGAGAAGAGCTCTGTATACCTGCAAAGAAGGGACAGTCACCCTGTTGCTCTCTCAGAGGAGAATCAGAGGGACGCATCTCCTTGTTCTCTGGCCCATGGGAGGAGTGGTCTACTTGTTGCTGAATGTTCTCAATAGAACATATTAGTCAGTACCCAAAGGGGTTAACCACTCCTGCAGGTGTTTCCCTGGTTGTCTTGGAAACAGAAACCTCAGAATAACAATAGTTGGTGGTAATGTTTCATACTGGTAGCTCACAGAGCCTCAGATCTCAGAAGGCAGAGCCTGGGGGAACCCCTATCTCACTGTACCTCCCTCTGGTAGGAACACCCACTGATTGGCTATTCCTGAAGACAGCCCCTTTGCTAGGTTTCCAGTGTGCTAATGTTTATCTTACTAGCACCTTTCAAAACTTGGCTGACACTAGCATCTTTGGTTTCATAGATATAGAAAGAGCCTGTCCTTGTCATTCACCTGAGGGTATGTGGTTACCACGGTGTCACTGTTAGGATTGGCAATAAGGCATTTTAAGCCTGAGGTCTGAGGTCTAAGGGCTGTTTGCACTCTGCCTCCAGGGTTCTCTCTCTGTAACCTGTTCCTGCTTATAACTATTTCTGAACTTTGTTTAATTGCCTGTAATAATGTCTTGTTTATCCCCCAGGTATTGTGACAAGCACCAATAAGGCTTTTCTTTCTGGGTGCTGTGTAATATTAGACTCCAGGAAAGTGAACCCAGCATCATACCCCTCCAGTTCTAGAAACTCCTTTTCCAGGAAACCTTCATCCTTAAGTCCCATGGTTCTCCTATGCCTGCTTTACTCCCAGTTGCCCTGCCCAAAATATACATCTGTTGTATGTGGAATAATTTACACACCACACGTTCTCTCTTTGCTCCTCAAGACTGTCTTTCTCAAATATGTTCTGGCTGTGTTCCTGTCCTGAGGAGGCTATAGGTGTGTGTGTGGAGGCCCAGAAAATCCTTCTCAGGTGTGAGCTTGTGCGTAATGAACCTGTGGTTCTGGTGAGCTGCAGCCCTGGCAGGACACCACACTGCTTTTAGCCTGGGCTTGTTTAGAAAATGACCTTCCATGCAGAATTACTAAGGCCCAGCAGGCTGTGGGTACAGGTGTGGAAGCCAGGGACTTCAGGATACAAGGGAAGCTTTCCATTGAGCTGTGAAAATTCATAATGAAGCATGCACAGTAACTGCACCAAGGGCCAGAGGGAGGCTGTGTTACTCAGAATCAGCTGGGATTTTCTGATGGCACGTTGCTTGTCGCCCCTAGTGGCACATGGCTTGTCCTCCCTGATGGCATGCAGGCAGCAGGGACTCCTGGTATCCAGCAGTGAACCATCCCATCTGCCAGAGCCTTTTGGAAAAGCCTTTACCAACCAAGAGCTGCCTGTGAGCTCTTGGCCCCTTCCAGCCCCTTTTAATCTATTATCCTATGTTCCTAAGCAGTCATCAGCAGCGGTAAAATAATAATA